CCCCCCCCCCCCCCCAAACATTACACCGCACATGTAGCCTCTGGCTACTCCAGTTCTTGGCCCAGAGCTTTGCCAATACTTGTTCTATCCAGCCAAATTTCTACAAACCATCTGCATCCAGGAAGAGCAAAAGTCTATAGGAGCCCACCAACAAGGTGTTTAGAAGGTGCCTTGCTATTCCATTTGAAAGAGCAGTAGAGATGGGCAGACATGGTTGTCTATGGACAGATGAGCATCCTCATTCTAACTTTGATGGTAGTTCCCCCAAAGCTGACAGGATTAGATGTTACAGGTCCAAACTGTACTCTCAGCTACATCAATCTTAAACAATGCAATGCTGCAAATTCTTCCTCATTTGCACAGGCATGAGGAGGACAAACCTTGACATACACATTACTCTGTGCTGGCATCACTTCTCTTTATTGCTATGTCTTAGGAAGAGTCACTAATTTCTCGGAACAATCAAACAAGACGACATCCTACTGCACGAGTTACAACTTGTCTGCTCCAACATCAGTGTTATTAGTCATAGCTTTAAAAGTCAGGTTCAAAAATAAAGTAATGACCTTTTCTTCCCCTCCTCCCCCAAAGAGACAACAACTCCAGAATCCAATTAACTTTTTGCATCCCCATGACAAGAAACTTGTTTCCAGTAAGGGAAGAGTATACTGGGAAAGTTACTTGATTTCTATCAATTACAGTAACCTACCCTGTAAGAAGCAGGTCCCTCTGGGGAGGATCTGGAGCCAAACTGGTGCCACCATCAATTGGCCATAGCTAAAAAGAAGTTAAAGCAACACCATGACTTTCCATACAGCAAATGTGAACAGACCATGCAATCAAGAGGGAGAGCGGAAAAGCCTGACCTTCCCTGAAAGTGCATCTGTACCTGCACATACTATTATAGCCTTTGTTTGGATTATGACAGATGTGCTAGGTCCAAATCTCAACTGCAGTTTTCTGCTAGTAGCGCTTCAACCCAGATTTCCTCTTTAAGAAAGCTTCTGGATTAGAAGCAGCTTTCTTGTTAGAACTGACAGCTAGAAACTTTCTGAGATGTTACTAAAAACC